TTCCAAATGTTCACTTATGAGAGAACGTTTTTTGCATGACCAAAAATTATATTTTTAGCCAATTTTAAGGACATGAAAAGGACCGTCCCTGTTTTCGGGCAAAAAAGGGTAAGATAACTGACCGTGTATATATTCATAAAATCAGATAAAATGAAGCACATGACTCCTTTTGACAGAGGCGCAAAGGTTGCAAGTGGCACGACAAACTGACATGACTCACTCCCGAAAGGATGTTCATAAAACAGCGAACTAGAGAAGACAAACACGACACATTACAAAATGATGTACTCAGAGTATGAAAATAATGTTGATCCCATCACAAGGAAGGCATCTTCATCCGAAGTTCTTGTCGACTACGAGCAGAACAGTGACGAGGATACCGTTGCAACAGCATTCCTCAAGACATCATGGAAATCTGTTGAATCATCGATGGAGTCTTCACCGAAACCTTCCAAGACCCGCTTTAGTTGGTGGGCGCTGAACGGTGAGGAACCGATCACAAGCCATTCCATCAAGAAAAGGAACAAGAAAGCCAAAACTAGACACAGCTGCCCCGTTACTGAAACCGAGCACAAGGAGACCATCAAGTGTATCAACAAGTCTCTCGACAAGAAGAAGAAGAAAAGGAGCAAGTCCAAGAGTGACAAGAAGAAGAGCAAAAATACCAAGAGAAAACAAAGAAAAGAAAAGAAATACTCATCAGGCGCATCCGAAAGTGCTGCTACTCACTCAACGGCAGCAATGACAGCTCTATCTGCCGAAACCATGGAACAGGAGGCTTCTACTCTGCAATTAGACGCAGCTCTGGCACTCCAAATCAATGCACGAAAACTCCACCAACTAGCGAGGTTGCAAGAGAGCTTTGAAAATCATCAAGACGAGCTACTAGTATCGGAACATGAAACCGATCCTCCATTGAGTTTGGAAACTCTTTTTCATGGATGTGCTGCTTTAAATAACGAAAAAGAGGAAGACTTTGACGAATACGAAGAAGAAACCATTCACGGAGAAGGCGAAGAAGTGATTTGTGAGTACTATGAACAAAAAGTTTCATCCCCAAAACCATTGAGGACCAGACGACTAAGTCTGTGATCATGCTTTGGATTTTCCAACACTAGGTGTAAACAGTTACAATAGCTCCAGATTAAGAATATACACCTATGACCAGTTTCCCTGGTGTTCTTTTTCAAGCCTGTACATGTCATGGCTAGCTAGATAGCTAGATATATGCATTGATGCATAGATGCATAGATGCATACAGTAGATGCATATGCATACACTATGCATAGATGGAATTGATTGATGGAAGTGTTACCCAATTTGACCCATCCGACTTGAACAGTGTCGGCCAAAACAGCTTCGTGGAGCACAAGTGACAATGACACTTATTCTTGTAACAGCCAGTATCTCCTTCTGATCTGCCAGGATACTATGCTGTAAATTATACATACTATATCGAGACATACAGTACTATTTATATGTTAGGCTTCACAAGGTTCATTCTCATCCGCACTGTACAAATGACAGCACTCATGGTTGGTACTGCAATTATTTTCTGCAGTACTACAACATGCATGTTGCAACTACAGTAGAAAGATATCCCTTGCCATGGGCTTTCTCTAGTGGTCATTGCCCTCTTTCCCTTTGCGACTCTTTTACTCATGCTGGTGGTAATCTCAAGATCCATGCATATATGATAATATAAAATGACTTGTGTGAGACGAGAGACGAGTGAGTTCTCGCTCGCACGGAGCACGAATGACACTAGTTGTAAAACAGCTTCATACTGTACATGTTACTTTGTCATATATCGGTACATGTTACATGTGTACCAGGTACCACGAGTAAGTTTTTCAAAATTCTGTAGAAGCGCGCGCTAACATCTATGGTTCGGGAGGTTCTCAGTAGCATTTCTACATATAAATGTTGACGTAAGTGTGAATGCAAAAGTTGATCGGTCCAATGACGCTTTTTTTCTGTTTTCGTAAGAGCCTTGCCGGGTCATATATGTTTGAAAAACACTTGCGCTATAAGCATAAATATGTCGAACTTAGGTAAGCTAGTCACTTATAACAGTTAAGTATTTTTGGCCGCGTTCTGTGTTTTATTTTGCTTAACATCACCTGATTGGCACTATAAATGTGGTTCTCAA